ACCAAGCTTAACGATAACTAATTCTAAGCCCATACCCCAACTTAAAATCCCAAACAACATGAACTGGATGTGTCAATGGATTATCACGAACACCTTCAACAATCAAATCAGCAACTAAATCAGAACTCATACGAGAATGATTCATCGTACGTACTTCAGCACCACATGTGTGGACATTGTTAAGCTTCCTTATATAAAAGAACCCATTAGCATTTTTCACTTTACCATGAGCATTCCACATATAACCTTTTGTCTCTCTAAACAAACATTGTGCGGTAACATGAACTTTATCATTCTTAACAAATATGAACTCAAATCCACAATCAATAGAAAACTTCGACAATGCATTACGAAATTCAACAATTCCACATTCAAATTTCTATCCTACATATGTAATACTAACTGCCCAACCAGCAGACAAAAGTACTTTTTCCTTGTGTCGACAAAATGATGATAACATATTAACCTCTTCTTCAACCTCTAACCTCAAATTCCTATTGGATGATATAGATGCTCTGTTTGACAAGTTTATAGACTTATTGTTTTTATAAGACAATGCAATATCACAAACTTCAAGCTCAAACATTGACTCTCTTTCTCCATAATCCAATCTTTTGTTGATATTACCACAGTCAATGGTTGAGTTTTTCCTCTCACAAAAACATCAATACACTTTGAATCAAAATGAATAACTAATGCCAACAACAATTCTATAGCTTATCAACCAACTGATTATATGTAACAATTCGATCAATCTTAATTGCAAATGTGCAACCATTATACTTGCACAACAAAAAAATCAGGACACTCGTAGAACTTTCATTCATCTTTCAATCTAAACAAAAAAAAAAAAGACTACATCAATAACAACTAGCACAATACTCAGTTTATTAAAACTACAAAACCAGAACAAATACTTCATAACAATACTAAGAGCTTTCTCAGTTTTCACAAATCATGTTTTCAATTCATAAAATACTAAACCAAACCAAGAAATCACATCTTCAATTTGTAAAAATCGAAATTATTCAACATATTCTCATAAATAAATTCAACCAAAACTAAAAAAAATTCTAAAAACACATAATATACAAAATCTAAACAATACATACCTATAAACCAGCATATCAATTCTTCAATTAATAACTCGAAATCGCACATAACAAACTCCAACAGATTTTAACTCAAAAAGCCTCAATTATGAATCTGTCAAAACCGAGAAATCAATTTATGTATAATAGCAAACCAAACTAATAAATCCCTCAAAATCCTTCGCGATTTGAATCTTCATGTACTTCCATAACTGATTTGTTTTTTCTTTCTAGTAAATAACGTCAATGCTATTATATATACACTTGTTTGGGTTAAAGGGCAAAAACGTCTTTTTACCTATAAATGGGACTTATTGGTTTAAAAACTTTTTGCCAGAACCTAAGCAACTATCAAATATATAGATAGGACTTTTAGGTAATTAATTATTTATTTTAAGGATTTTTTTGCTTTCTAGGTCCTTGACTAAAAAGAAATTAGAAATTAAAAATTTACTAATTGAATGACATTAAATATTTTATGTATCAAATTATCCTTAGTTCATTACACCTATTGCTGTTATTATCGTTATCTTTAACTACTGTCAATATTTTTTGTGCCATTTTTCTGTGTGATATCGTTGACTTTCTAACAGTGTCAACCGATTGTCGACGATATTTTTTAAGAAACCTCCCTCGTTGTATTCTGTTTTTTCGACAATTCTGTAATAACATTTTCAATGATCGAAATTTCACTTACTAAAAGACATTACAAATTATCAATACAATAGAATATAGTACAAATTTACTATGTACACTATTATTTATGTAATTTCACTGTGCCGTAAAATTCCAATCACTCTATATAATGTTATTGTATAATTTCACTACCATGATGATTTCTTACTATGCGAAACTGAAATCAAATTGTATTGAATAAAAAGAGCAATAGAAAGATAAAAATAAAGGATATTAAATAAATAAAAGTAGAGATGCATGAGATATAATATGTATATAACAAATAAACAAATACAAATTTGAATTAATAGGAGGAGAACAAAAATTACGTAATTGTCTGGAAGATCAAACCAATCATTAATATGTCTCTTTCTTTATTTTTGAAACATTACAATGTTCCATTTATTCGACTTTTGTTTGTTTAAATAAAGCTTTTAATCTCAATTTAACAGTTATGCTTTAATTGGTTCATTAAAATGAGTTAGAATGTAATATAATCATCATTCATTAAGCTTTCACATGGAATAACTATTCCCTTGAAATGATAAATGATGATTAAATTTGTAATGCAATTTGTGATTATTTTTTGAATCAACCAAATATAGGAATTAATATATTCATGGAATAATCGTTTGATTTCAGTGAAATAAACACTATCTTAGTGTGAAATTTCACAAATTGGTTGACGTGGATCATGGTGATTGGTTACACGGAAACATTCGAGTTAAAGGATCAAAGGTGAAAAGATACGGTAAATTATAATTTGCCCCATTTAAGTGTGGTCACTTTTGTATTTTGGCCTTTAGAGTTTATTTTTCCCTACTTTGGCCCATTATGTTTCAATTTTTTTTTTATCAATTTATTCTTAAAACTAACTTGTGTTCAAAATTATACTGTAAATATCACAATAACTGTCACATAATATAAAAAAGGGTAAATTACATTTACCTCCTCTGAGGTTTCTGATCAATTCAAGGACCTCCTTTGTGGTTTGAATAATTACAGTAACTTCCCTTGCTTTACTTGACAATATCAAAATTCCCTCATTTCGTCTATTTTACGCAAACGACGTTAGTATCCTATAGAAAATGACCATATTACGCTTGTTTTTGCCTGCGAAAAGATGAAAAAGGCCTTTGTTTAAGACTAACATCACTGCCCGTGACTGACCAACACAACCATGACCCCTACTCTCTATGCGCCAAGTCAATAAGGACTTGGTCTCCCTCTCTCTCTCTCTCTCTCTTTCTCTTTCTCTCTCTCTCTCTCTCTCTCTCATCCTTTTCCTCTCGCTACACAACCATACATATTAGAGGTGAGAGATTAATAGTGCAGAGGAGAGAGGGTGAAGAAAGTGGCATTAGTAGTGGCTTTTTGGTGCTTTTGGGCACTTGACTACATCTTATGTATTGGAAGGCAAGATATTTTGGCCCAAATTCCTTGAAAAGTGGATTACCTAAAGCTGTTTCATCTTTGGAATAGGCCATGTCAGAGGGAAAAGGAAAAGAGTATGTGCACTGTACAGTTTGATTGAGGAGAGCTTCTGCTGTTGCAATTGCTTACATGTTTTGATTTTGTGACATAGATGTAAGTTCTCAACTCTTCAATATGTTATCCCAGTTTGATTTATGTTTTCCAATCAATTTGTTAATATGTTTCACTATTTTTCTTTTGTTTCTTCTGGTAATTGGAATGAAGTCTAAACTGATTTGTATTGTAGAGCATGGTTTTTTTTAGTTATTTAGTGATTATTTCACTGCTTAATCCCTTGTTCCCTATTTAAAAATTAAAAAAATCCTTGTTCAAAATTCCTAATATATATATATATTATTTTAGTTAAGACTGGTTTTTTTATTGTCACAACTGAACACAGTATATAATAGGCTTACTTCAAAGAGACCTTGTAGACCCAATAAAAAAGCAATTCGTGGAGCTACTTAGGCCAAGTTTGGGAAGACTAAATAAGTGCACTTTTTGACTTTTTTTGTATTATGTGTAGAAAAAATAGAGAGGAGATGTTGATTGATGTGACCCAAAAAAGATAAAAAGATGAAATAAGTGCACTTTTTTAGGTTAGCCAAACTTGGCCTTATGATTTGGCTAAGAATGATTCTTAGAAGGAGCCCTTATAGGCTTACTTCAAAGAGACCTTGTAGACCCAATAAAAAAGCAATTCGTGGAGCTACTTATGATTTGGCTAAGAATGATCCTTAGAAGGAGCCCTTTGAGAATCTTCTAGGAGATGCTTTTGAAGGCATATTAGATTGGGAAAGGAAATTGATTCAGGATCGGGTCCACTCACTTCGTGGAACTTGAGAATGATGCTGAGATTTGTCTCAAAATTCATTAAGCATAAGTCTAGAGAAAAACTCCACAGTGCACTTTATGGCACGAGAAGCCTGACCGTGGAGCCATTTTCCCCTCTAATAAAGTATTTTGCTTCTCAACCAAAAAAAAAAAAAGAAAAAAAGAGAGGGTATGTTGCTTCATGTCTAGCAGAGAAGAGAAAGTGGGTAATTGGGCACTTGAGGGTATTTTTAGTGTTTACATTTGATGACATCAGTAGGGTCTATTATATAAACGGTTGTCAAATTTTGAAAAAATCTTGACATTGTCAGGTAAAACATGAGAGGTTACTGTAATTATTCAAATCACAAGGAAGATCCCCGTATTTGTCAGAAACCTCATGGGAGGTAAATGTAATTTATCTTATAAAAAAATATATTATTATATTGAGATTTTAGTTTGTTTTGGAGATATTATTTATATGTAATAATTTTTGTTATGCCATGTGACTCTTCATGTGTTTTTTTGTTTTTTTTTTTTCTAATTTTTAATGAAAGTTAACTTTAAGAATAAATTGAAATATATTTGAAATATTAAACGCAAAGTGAGAAATAAACTTTAAGATTTAGGCCAAGTTTGACATCTTTCAAAAAATTCAAAAAGTCAAAAAATCACTATCCTATTTAAGTCACATCATCTCATTTAAGTCACATCACCTCTCTAACACATCACTTCAAACCCAACCCAAATTCAACCCATATTTCATAAAAAGTCAAAAAGTGCACTTATTTAGTCTTCCAAAACTTGGCCTTAAAGTAAGAAAGTAACCAAATTTAAACAAGGCAAAATGGAATTTAAGCAAAAAGATAAAGTAAAGTTAAATTAAATTATTATTATTTTTATTGAAAATATTTATAAATTATATGTTAGAACGTTACATTTAAAAAATAAAAAAAAAAAAATTCCAAAGGCAATGAAGACGCGAATTGCAGTAGCCTGAGTGACGGAGGAGGAGGGCTGACATAATCCTCTGGTTCCTTTTTACAGTTCTCACTCATTCTTGTTTTGGTCGTCATTTCTTTATCCCATTGTCCCCCTCCTGAAATCTCCTGAAAAATCCCACCACATCCGCAACAACAGCAGGAAGGGAAGAGCACACTCACGCCGACCCCAATAAAAAATACAAATTGAATTGAATGGGTATGTATTGTTCTGTTCTGTTCTGTTTTATTACTTCCTAAGCACCAACTCCATTTTTTTTTTATTTTTTTATTTTTTTTTAATTTTGATTATAAAAGAAAGGAACCCTAAAAACTACCTACCCAATCCCTAATCCTTTATTCCCTTCCTATATAACTAAAACCACAATTCGAAGACTAATGAGTGTTTGTTTGTTTGTTTCCCTCTTTAGGTTTGAAGATTCAGCCAAGGAGACTTCACTCCTCTGCATCTTGAGAGGTCTTCTGTCGTACGTACCCCTTGCCCCCCCAACATATATATGACGGTGTGTTCTTCCTATTCAATCACTATCATCTTCTTATCTCAACTGTTATTATTATTATTATTATTTTTATTTTTTTTTTCTCTTTACACATTCAATCGCTCTAACCTCACCTCACCTCATCAATATTATTATTATTTAATATTTTTGGTTGGGCTTTCCATATGCCCTGATTATAATTGTAAGATGTGGTACGCAGTGTGGGTGGCCTTTTTTATAAAACTGAACATGGAAAATGAGGTAATCGAATTCGACATAGGTGTAGGAGGTGGAGGTGGAGGTGGAGGTGCTGCCAGTGGAGATGAAGCCCTGGACGGTGACCATCATGCCCTTGATGAAGAGATGGCTGATAGTTCTCCCACCGGCGGCAGCGGTGGTGGTGGTGGTGGTGGCGGTGTTAGTGGAGAAATTTACATTCCTGAAGGGGACCCGGATCTTGAGCCTTATGAGGGCATGGAATTTGAATCTGAAGAGGCTGCCAAGGCTTTTTACAACTCATATGCCCGTCGTGTTGGGTTCAGCACCCGTGTTAGCTCCTCCCGCCGTTCCAGGAAGGATGGAGCAATCATACAGAGGTCCTTCGTTTGTGCTAAAGAAGGGTTTCGGAACTTGAATGAGAAACGCACCAAAGATAGAGAGATCAAGCGGCCCCGCACCATTACCCGAGTAGGATGCAAAGCATCCCTCTCGGTTAAGATTCAGGATTCCGGGAAATGGGTTGTGTCTGGCTTTGTTAGGGAACACAATCACGAACTGGTGCCCCCAGACCAGGTGCATTGCCTGCGCTCCCACCGCCAAATTTCTGGCCCTGCCAAGACCTTGATAGATACCCTGCAGGCAGCTGGAATGGGCCCCCGGAGGATTATGTCAGCCCTGATAAAAGAGTATGGTGGTATCAGCAAAGTTGGATTTACAGAGGTAGACTGTAGGAATTACATGAGGAATAATCGCCAGAGGAGCTTAGAGGGAGACATTCAGCTTCTTCTGGATTATTTGATACAAATGCATGCTGAGAACCACTCATTCTTTTATTCTGTACAGGGCGACGAGGATCAGTATACGGGTAATGTCTTTTGGGCTGATCCGAAGGCAAGGATAAACTACACTTATTTTGGTGATACTGTAACATTCGACACGACTTACAGGTCAAATAGATACCGTTTACCCTTTGCACCCTTTACCGGTGTAAATCATCATGGACAGCCCGTGTTGTTTGGTTGTGCTTTGCTAATAAATGAATCAGAAGCATCATTTGTTTGGCTATTTAAGACATGGCTTACAGCAATGTCTGGTTGCCCTCCAGTATCAATCACCACCGACCACGATATGGTGATACGGTCAGCCATCATGCAGGTTTTCCCAGAGACCCGCCACCGTTTCTGCAAATGGCACATCTTTAAGAAATGCCAGGAGATGCTGTCCCATGTGTTCCTTAAGCATCCCAATTTTGAAGCGGACTTCCATAAATGTGTGAACTTGACTGATTCAATTGAGGAGTTTGAGTCTTGCTGGTTAGCACTTGTTGATAAGTACGATCTTGGGGTTCATGAGTGGCTTCAGACGTTGTATTCTGCTCGCAGGCAGTGGGTACCAGTGTATTTACGGGATACATTTTTTGCAGAAATGTCTATAACACAACGAAGTGATAGTATGAACTCATACTTTGATGGGTATGTGAATGCATCAACCAATCTGAATCAGTTCTTTAGACTCTATGAAAAAGCATTGGAGAGTCGCTATGAGAAAGAAGTGAAAGCAGATTATGACACAATAAACACTTCTCCTGTTCTGAAGACCCCTTCTCCCATGGAGAAACAAGCATCTGAGCTGTACACAAGAAAGTTATTTGTGAGATTTCAAGAGGAGTTGGTTGGGACACTTACTTTCATGGCATCCAAAGTAGAAGATGATGGAGAGGTGACAATGTATCAAGTAGCGAAGTTTGGGGAGGATCATAAAGCTTACTATGTTAAATTTAATGTCCTGGAGATGAGAGCAACTTGTAGCTGCCAGATGTTTGAGTTCTCAGGTCTTCTTTGCAGACATATATTGGCCATCTTCAGAGTGACAAATCTCCTTACTCTTCCATCACATTACATTTTGAAACGATGGACAAGAAATGCCAAGAGCACTATTATATTGGAAGAACGTGCCAGTGATGCATTTAGCAGTTATCTAGAGTCCCACACTGTCCGATATAATACATTACGCCATGAGGCCTTCAAATTTGTGGATGAAGGGGCAGAATCTTTAGAGTCTTACAACGTGGCAATGGTAGCTCTACAAGAAGCTGCCAAAAGAGTTGCCCTTGCAACACAGAACGAGGGAAAAACACCAATGGTCAATGGGCATGTCAGAGAGGACTTGACCAGTGATGGAAATCAGGCAAATTATAGTACTGGGGATCACCCCAGGAGCTTCTCTCAGCAATTGTCTGAGGTTAGTGATTTTATTCTTCTTGCCTTTCAAAGCCCTACTTTCCTGTTGTTTTCCCAGTGAAAATTCTGGCAATTGCTTTATCTGTCTTCTTATGCTTTCATACAAATTCCTTATATTTTCTGTCCTGTGTTCTGCGGTTCTACCTGGGGTGTTCACGGGTCAAGTCGAGTCGGATTTGAGTCAGACCCGCCACTCGAACAAAGCTGTTCGGTTTGGGAATATGTTTAACAGATTCCGATCACATGTTAGTTCGAAAGTGTCCTTCATATTCTCTGTTTTGGTTGTAGGATTTGGACGGTTTTGAAATTACAAAAGCCAAACATAAAAATAAAAAATAGATAAAGGCAATTATAGATTTAAAGGTTCAACAGATTCAATGGTGAAGAAAAAACAAGAACACTTCTATAGAAACAAGAATTCTGATATACCAAATAATTAAACTGAACTTGAAATCACCACAACAGCAAAACAAAACAAAAAAAAAGAAGAAAAAAAAAAAGTAAACTCAAGAATCAATAGATCTAGAACCAAAACTCAAAGATCAAACCTAGATAAATTGACATGACTACCATAGCAAACACTATGCATGTTTTCTATCACCATTCTTGAAGCTTTAAGATCAATCAGTCGTTGAGCATCACCAATGTCATCACCATCAACTTTCAAAAGCCGGAAATCCACCATTGATGAAGCTTGAAGGTCGTTGACGCCATGATGTTGTTGAACGGGAATGGGGCCTTCTCCTTTGGCTGTTCAAATCATGAGGGTGACTTTCAGAAGGTAGGGCTTTGGACTAGCTTTTAGGGTTACGATTGAGCTCTATGTGAGAGAGAGAGAGTGGTTGAGAGAATGAGAGAAGAATAGATAGAGACGCTTAGAAGAAACAGAAAGGGATCAAGAGTTGTGAGAGAGACGTTTAGAAGAAAGAGAAACGTGTTTGACAGTCTTGAGAAATCATAACACGCATGGGATACATATAATAATGTGCAATACCAAGGCTAATATAAATTTGACACATGATAAGATAATATTTTTATAACATATTTAGTCTGTTCAATTTTGAATGGATTCCAAATATCTAAACTCGTTGACTGAACTAATACCCGAAAAAATTGTTTTTAACAAACTGCTGCTGGCCATACTGTGATTTGAAACTGTTTGTATGATTGTCTAATCGGGCTGTCTGGTCGGGTGGGTTGGGTCCAATGTTTTAAAAACCGGACCGGTGAGTGAATTGAAAAAGGAATTGAAGTGGATGGGTCATCGGTTCAACTGTCAGGTTGAACTAGAATTAAACCGTGAAGTCAAAATTATTTTATAAATATTTTTATAATTTAAAAATAAATAAAATACATTCATTTAAAATATTTTATAATTTAAGATATATATTTTTAAAATTTTTATGTTTATATATATTTTTTATATTAATATTGTTTGTAAAAATATTAATTATACATGTGTTTAAAAGAAATTACTTTGAATATAATAAATAGGATTAATTATCTAAAAGTCCTATCTACATATTTGGTGGTAGCTTAGGTCCTGTCAAAAAGTTTTTGAACCAATAAGTCTCATTTACAGGTAAAAAAGACGTTTTGCCCTTTAATCCCAAAACTGAGAATGTTTTCAATTTCAAAACTTAGAATGTTTTCAATTTATAATTATCAAAATTAAGAAATTTCTCAATTTTTTTCTGGTATGAACTAAGAATATTATCAAAACTAAGAAATTTATAATTATCAATTTTGAGAAATTTCTTAATTTTTTTCATGATTAAAATTGAGAATATTATAAACTGAGAAGGTTCTCAATTTCAAAAAACTCTAGATCTCTCTCTCTAATGGTAGTGGCATCTGTGAACTCAGTGAAAATCGTGACCTCACAATCAATGGACTCATCGCCTTCCGAACGAGTCTTCGACGCCGGCTTTGAGTCCTTATCTTCCGGTGGACTCTCATAAGCAACAGCCGCAGATCCACTTAATTCTTCACCCAACCCTCCCAGAGACGTTGAATTTCAGGTGGTGATGAGGCAGATTGGCGGTGATGGAGAGAGGTAGATCTGTTCAGAGACAAATCAACAACAACCTCAACCTTACATGTGAGCCACTCGCGGATTTGAGTTCTTCATCTTCATCGACGATGACGACGACGACGACGACGACACCGCAGATCTGAGTAGGGGAAGGAGGCGGGTGGTTCTGGTGGCGGAGCTAGATTTCCAACAACGGAGCTTCGTCGAGGACGTCGATGGAGGACTTGAGGACAGAAGGGAGAGGGAAGGCAACATCAAGACAGCTTACCTGGAGTTTGTTGAAGGGGCAAATTGGTCTATTAAAAATTAATGGGACTTGAAGGAGCAAATAATTTTATCTAGGACTTAATGGATTATAAGTTCACAAAATGGGACTTGTATGTAAATGGCCCTAATAAATATTATATATCTCATATAACAAGGAGCCATGGTGGCATAGTGGAAACTCATGCTCTTTAGAGCTTAAGATTCTGAGTTCAACTCCTTGTGGCATCAATTTTTTCATAGTGGACCGGTTTGCTTCAACCCGTTCTGGTTCTACTGGGTTACTAGTTTAACCGAGGGTTTGGCCGGCTTAACTTAAAAAGACCGCTTTTCAAGCTAGTGGGGTTTAAGGGTTGATCCGGACCGGAACTTGGACCCGGTCAAACCGGCCTGTCCGGTCCGGTTTTCAAAACATTGGTTTGAACAAATTCCAAATATCTAGACTCGTTGACTGAACCAATACTCGAAAAAATTGTTTTTAACAAAATGCTGCCAACCATACTGTGATTCGAAACTGTCCGTATGATCGTCTGATTGGGCGGTCCAGTCGGGTGGGTCGGGTCTCACGGTTTGATGAACACCCTCACTACCCATTGTTTGGCTTATATTAGTAGTTTATTATTTTACTGCATGCTTCTATTTTGTGTCATCTCTTGGCTATTGTGCTTTTCTTTTCAATACAATAATTTGTTCGCACTTTCTTGTATTGCAATTGAATCACATGCAGTTGTGGATCTTTCAACATGTATATCATATTAGGTTAAGAAAAGATCTAGGCAGCTCTGGTGTGTTTAAACAGGGTATTGGTTTAGGTCTGAGTTTAAGAGCACCACCTTACTTCCAAGTTCTCCTCCATTGGAGAGGGGGAAAACTGATTATATTGCAGCAGGGTTGATCACTTTGGTTTGAGTTGCATTTCAGCAAACTGGCATCAGGTAATTATCTTGCATTATACGTTAGACTTGTACAACTAGGGTTTATTTATTTTTAATAAGTAAACTAACCAATTCATTAAAAAGCACCATCACAAGGGGCACAACCCACCCTAGACACACGGTGTATAGGATGTGCATGTTTCAGTTCAGTTCAGGGTAGAACTAAACCCATAACTAAACCAATTATGATTGTTTGTAGGTTGTTAGACTAATGACTGAACCAGTATTCCATTGGAACCGAACCAAACCAACTCGACTGAATGTAGCTTGGGTTGATTCAAGTTAGAACAATGGTTCCACCATACTTACATATAAGTGAATAAGTTCTTCATAAAACGCAACCTCAACTTCAATCTTATAACATCAAAATTTTTGAAGAAAAAGTAATAAATCAGCAGTAAATAAGTCTTGAAATAAAACTTTGTTTTAATTTTAAGGAATGAGGAATGCATAATAGAGACTGTGAACACCTAATATTAGGTACAAAGAAATCTATGTCTCCAAACTAATAGTTTTATGTAAGAATACTAGAAATGGTGAATTCATTGCCAGGATATTTATACAAACAAAATGCATGCGTGGATACTAATGAAAACAACCCACTCTTCTTACTTATTAAAAACTGTTAACATGCATAATAAGGTCAATAAATATTTTTGTAAAACTCATGCCATGTTGAGCCATAGAGTTTTACTTATCTTACAAGTAAAATGTTTCTATAACAACATCTACCTTAGTACTTGTTTTCCACAAATTATATGAAGATATCTCAACATAAATAGAATTTTATGTTATTTATCAAAAAAAAAAAAAAACATAAATAGAATTTTATCTAAAATAGATTTTGGTTCTGGGCTCTGCCTAACCGAAGAACCGAACTGTTCTGATTGGGTTTTTATTTTTAGACCTAGAACTGAACTAATATATTGACAAAAGCAAACCAATCCAAACCACGGAGGTTGGGGTGGTTTGGTTATTGAGTTTCTTGGGTCTCTTGTGCAACTGTGTAACAAAGTTAATCTTGAAAAGAAAAATTATTGACCTATCTACAGGAATATACAACTCCTGCAAATAATCAACACAAGAAGATAAAGAAAAAAGAAAAGTTCCCTGAGCCAAAAAAACAAGGAGACTAGTAATGTTTCTTTTAAGCACAAAATTGATCATTCTACACCCTTTAAAGTTTTCATGTTCTTCCCGTTCCATATGCACCACATCAAACCCATAAGATGGAATTCTATGGAAGAATTGATCATCCGCTTGACTAATTCTTTTGGCTCATATCTGCTGAGTATTTCCACACATTAAGAATAAGAAGCAATGAGAAGTGAAAGTGAGGGATATGCTCTGGACTTTGCTACTTCCTTCACTCACTTTTAGACTGAGTAGGTGACCATAGCAGCTCGTACAAATTAGTTTTTGAAGAGCCAATCAAGTTATATACTGCTGTTCAAACGTCGAGAATCACTTTTAGGTTGTGATTTGGAGCATGTGGGTTTGAAATCTCTAATTTAGGCCTAGTTTGGGAAGACTAGAGAAGTGTACTTTTTGACTTTTTATGAAATATGGGTTGGGTTTTGGTTGGGTTTGAAGTGATGTATTAGAGAGGTGATGTGACTTAAATAAGATGATGTGACTTAAATAGGATAGTGACTTTTTGACTTTTTGTCTTTTTTCAATCTTCCCAAACTAGGCCTAATTGCTGGCATTTGGATTTGATTGCAGATATGGAAGTTCAATATTTTAAATTATGAGCTGGTTCTTAAATTATTTTCTAAAAAAGATGTTATATTTTGTCCTAGTTTTATTATAGGGACACTTTTTTATAAATCCCCTTTCACCTACTTATGTTCTATTTAGTCCACATTTTTTTCTTATGTTCTAATAAGCCCTATGGGTGACATAGTTACTAAAATACCCCTAATAATTTCATGATGTGAATATTCACATAGTCAATGTGAATGTTCACACTATCAATGTTAATGTTAACATGTCAATATGAATGTTCACATTGTAAAATATGAATGTTCACATCACCAAATTGTAAAATATTTGTAAGGGTAGAAATGTCTACAAAATACCTTAGATATGATAATTATGATTTGGTAGATCAAATGTCCAGATAATAGGACTTATTAGAATATAAGAATATCTTATGGACTAATTGGGATACAAATATTTGAAAAAGGATTTTCTAATAAATTTCCTTTATTATAATTACTTTGCTTCTGGGATGGATGAGGTTTAAAGACTATACCATGGTCATGATTCTTCCTTTGCATACATTGTTGTCATTTTTTAAGTTCAAACTGAATTACCGCAGCAGATGATTATATATACATTTCATGATTGGTGGTCTTTGTAAATGAAAAGTTTTATGGATATTATGTAGGATGATATGGACAAGAAAATCCATGATCTTACCCATGAGCTGGATTGTGCGAATCGAAAATGTGATGTTTACCGGGCCAACCTGATTTCAGTTCTGAGGGATATTGAAGATCATAAACAACAGTTATCAGTCAAAGTCCAAAACATTAAGCTTAGCATGAAAGATGATGGCCTTTAAAGGTGCAACATTGTTATTACCTGTTGTTTGTCTTTCGTTTGTTCTCTAATTTCGTTACATAAACAGAAGCTGTTATTTTACTTTTTGACGGTGTAGACAGTGAAAAGGCTTCTCAGTTAAATTGCCTCTGATGGAGCATAGTTATTCTCATTGCTTTTCAGTAGTATAGCTAATTTGAAGTGATAGTTCCTTCTTTCCTATCCCGTACAAGAAGGTCCACATTGCTCCATAATTATCTAATAGAATTATCTTTCCGAAGATCTCACAGAGCATGAGAAGGTTTGTGTGTAGAACATGCTAAGCATGGTACCGAGCAGGTAGGTTTAGGATGTAGTTTGGCTGATGAAGGGATTACAGAGCTATAAGCCTTCTTACCATCTGAACAGTTTTACACTGATCTATTTTGTTGTAACCTCTTAACTTATTAATTTTGACTTTGCAGGGGATGAGCATTTTGGTATGATATGCTTACAGTTGCAGACAAGGACAATAGATGTGAAACTCAAGCTGCAACATGTATGGTGTCTATATTGTTCTCCTATGGTTGGATTCTCATTGAATGCCTGTCGTATCAAGTCATGACTCAAGTGCTCAAATGTTCATACTCCTTGATCAAGGATGTAAAGCCAGGCAATCACCAAAAAGAAGATGCTAGTCAAGCACCTGAATGCCTGTCAACTGAGCATAAATGAGGTTGGTCATACCCATTGGTTGGTCCGATTCTGTTTATACCCTCTAGTAGAAATATATTTTTCTTTCTATTGGGAGGTCAAATATGATATGATATTGTAGGAAACAATTCATAGTAGCATGGTTAAAAAAATAATTCAAGTTGAAAAATATTTCAACTCATGCTGGAACGTGACTCCAATCTCTCACTCACTCTCTCTCCAAAGATATCAGTTGGAAGTGAAATGGGAGGGGTGAGATGCATCCTTTTTCTGTTAGATTCCCTTGCCCAGTAGACGAAGAACGAGGATTTAAGGTGAAATCTAATTCATTTGAATTAAGGTTAGCTAGATTTGACTGTAGTATGTGCACTAGATTTGACTGTAGTATGTGCAAAGCTGTGAAGTTGTAAAAATATTGGTAGCGTTTGGTAGAGTTTTCTAAATATGATTTGAGAATAGAGTTGTATTTTGAGCTTATGAGTTTTGGAATTATGATTTGAGTGTAGAAAAATTGTCTGGTGAATGAGTTTTGAAAAGAATTTTGAATTGAGTGAGAAATTTTTGATGTGACATATGATATTTGATATAAAAACTTATAACTCATAATCAAACACACAACTTAAAATTCTATTCAAAATTCATAAAAATTTCCAATTTTTTTTTTATTTAAAATATAAAAAATAACTAGTGACAATTGTAAAAAAAAATAAAAAATTACATTGTACCGGTCAACAGGCCCGATGCTCGGGAGGACGACCGACTGGACATCCGGGAGGACGACCGGTTAGTCCAAATTTTCCGATTTTGAAAAGAATTTTCAAAAGCAAATAGAGAATTAACTTTTGAAAACTCTAAACAAACACCATATTGAAACCAAACGGTGAAATCATAGTTTGAACATTTAACCAAACACAGCCATTGTCGTCCATCTTTGAACCTGGACAGAGTTTGAATGTTTATTCATTATTTGAGGTAGACTTTGAAGATGATTAGTTTTTTCAACGGGTTTGTTTACTTCTTGATGTCTGGATAAATCCACACCCATCAGCACACAATTTTCTCTGTAAATCAAACGACACCATAATACATATGCAGCAGAAATCACTTGGTCTCTGTTGAGTTGGTACATACAGGAGTTGTCCATTTTTATATCAATAGGTAAAAGCTCAATTTGATAGGCCTAGCAGAGGCTTGAACTCCCCATAACCAAGCTCTGGGTTCTTGTGTGTTGCTTTCCTAATACCTAATACCAAGCTAAAACTCTTCTTCTTCTTCAATAATATATATATATATATATATATCAAAAGAGAAAATAAAAGAGGCCATCTTGAAGAAACCTAAGCTTTTCAACTGAACTTTGGAAATTGCCAAGGCACATAGGTAGGCTGGGTTGCTTAAACTAGACAAACATCATGTTGGTTGTTTTTTGGGGAAATTACAGCTTAATGAAACTTTCAAAATTTATTAGTGATTGCTGGAAAAGTTTATCATTTTGTATTTCAATGTTGGTAAAGTTTATCATTAATATGTAAATATTTTTTTAAACATACACTGACATGTGATTTCCCCTTCATTTTTTATATACAGAAAAATCAAAAGCAGTGTTGGACAGTGGGTTGATGTTTTTGCATGTCAACTCACGAATAAAATCAAATTTTGCCACATCGTCACTGACGAGCAGGGATCTCACCAATTTCGTCTATTTTCTTGATTAGGTGTTTGCTCTAATTTAAGGATTTTTTTTTTTTTTTTTTTTTCTCATTTTAATTTTTTTTTTTCCTGATTTGTTTTGGTTAGGTATTTGCTTTGATTTGCTCAGCCCTTGCCAAAACTGAAGACCTCCATTCCCCCTTTTTCTAGCGTGTTTGTTCTGATAGGTGAATTTAGGTTTTCTTTACTAATGTGTTTGTAATGATTTGTGGCTGTTTTTTTTTTTTTTGATTTGTGTTGAGGGTTGATTTGGCATGAACTATATAATTCATCTTTTTATCTTTTTTTCATTACATCACCTCTCTACTTTTCTGCACATCTTTTCGTAAAAAGACAAAAAGTGCACTTTTTTAGGACACTCCAAACCAACCCTGATTTTGGGATTCTAGGTGTTTTTAGAGGGTATTTGTTTGGAGGGATTGAGCAATGGTATAGAATTCATATCTAATGGATGGAATAGTTCGTTGTTTAATTCAAAAATTTTGTTAATAGTATATTCGGACTATTAATCCCCCAATTATATGGGATTGCTCTATCCCATAGGGGGGAACACAAATCCTAGAATAACTCATCCCATGGGGATTATATAGTAAAATTACATTTTTAACCCTCTATTATTTAATATCTTTTTAAAAATAAAATTTATTTATTAAATTATTTATACTTAGTAAAGTATAAATAATTATTTATTTTAATAATCATATGGTATTAATTATACTTAGTAAAGTAAAATAAAATTTAAAGATCTCAACTACAAATTAAAATGAATTTATGTAATTTTTATGGGTTATTTTTTGATAAATTCTCTTTCTAAATATTTTATTCCATCGAATCCATATTCTTTTTGAGTATTTCATTAAATTATGTTTAATGTAATATAACCAAATCATCTTTCTAATTTTTTGCACATGTTTCTATTTTGAAACTAATATATAACAACAGTAATTTTATGGAGAAAATCGCTCCTTCATTCTAAAGAGAAAATCTTTTCTCTATTCCATGGAGAAAATCTCTCGCTTATTCTAAAAAGAAAATTTCTCACATTCCATGAAAAAAATATCAAATTATGAATTTGAAATCTTTTTATAATTTAAAAATTTTAAAAATAATGCAACAAAAAATCTGAATAAAAATTAAAATATAATGTGAATGTTCATAATAAACAATAAACATACAACTAACTTTTGAAAAAAATAACACACATTAAAGTACAATGTGAATATTCACAATAAATAACAAACATACAACTAACCTTCGAAAAAATAAAATTCATATCAAAATATAATGTGAATGTTCAAAATTTATAATTAGCATGCAACTATTCTTAAAAAAAATAGTTTATACCAATGTAAATATTTACACTACAACGTGAAAATATAAAACAAAATTGAAAAAAGTGAAAATTGACTATTTTAATTGCTCAATAGTAACAAAAATGATTTTTCAACTAACAAACATAATAACAAAAATAACAAATATACGATTAACTTTCGAAAAAATAAAACTTATACTAAAATGCAATGTGAATGTTCACAATTTACAATTAATATACAACTAGTTTTTAAAAAAAATAAACACACCAATATGAACATTTACACTGCAACGTGAAAGCATAAAATAAAATTGAAAAAAGTGAACATCGACTATTTCGATTGTTCAATCGTAACAAAAATCATTGTTCAACCCATAAACATAGTAAAGAAAAAAAACAAAATACAACTAACTTTCGAAAAAACTTCAACAAAAAAACTCATACAAAAATATAATGTGAAGTTGACAATTTACAATTAACATACAACTAACTTTAGAAAAACTAAATTCATACCAATTTGAACATTCACACGGTAACACAAAAAAAAATTGAAAGGAAAAAAGAAAAGAAAAAAAGAAGACGACTGTTTCAATTGTTTAATGGTAATAAAAAAAAATAATTATTCAAACAATTATTAACAAATAACCAATAATATGTGAACATTCACATCCTACAAAATATATAATTATGTCCATATCTATATTCCAATACTTATTTCTCAAACTTTCAAATAATATGAAATGTGAACATTCACACTAATTAACAAAAAAATAAAAATAATAACAACAATAGAATTAGAAATTCAAAAAAAAAACCTCAATCATTTTAAAAACAAAACAAGAAATATCACCCACATCCTCATCTTCATCATCATCTTTATCATTATCACTATTATTAACAATCTATGCAATTTCACTATTCCATCAATCCAAATCAAACAAAATCCACATTTGAAGAATATGTTTGTAATAAAATTGAGTGGATATAAACAGAGTTTCGACTTACAACAATGAAAAAAACATAGAGTTTCGAACACAGAGTAACAATGGATGAACACAGAATTTCGAATACAAAGTGACAATAGAGGAACACAAAACTTCATCGCAACAATGGAGAAACATAATATTATTCCACCACCATGTATAAATTAGAGTTTCTAACCCTACCAAATAGAGAGTTTTGAAACCCCAACACTTTGAAACAATACCACAAATGTGAATGAAATTGATTAAAAAGAAAAACATGAATAATGGTAACTACCAAAATAGAGGTAACAACAGAAAAGAAATGTGCATATCCTTTTTTTATGTAATACATATCAACAATAGACATAAGGGCATAATAGTCTAACAACAATATAAATCAAGAAAAAAAGATCTTATCAAATAAAAGTATAAATACATGAGACTAAGTTATAATTTTTTTGATAGACTTATTGGGTTAGAATATCTCTAAATGAGATTTATCAAATTAAAAACGCAATTTTTATTACTCCATTGGTCTCAAAATAATGGTCATTTTTAGGAAATATAACTTTTTTTGATAGTACAATTATTATATTAAAAAAATATTACTTTTACAAAATTATCAATGAATTTAAAAGAAAAGTAAAATAGTAAATTCATATTATTTTATTTCTTGAGACAATAAAAAATAAAATAAGAGACTAAATATTTTGAGATAGATGGAGCAATATTCTGTTTATTTAATTTTTAAAAGTTCTAGTAAAAACATAAAATAAAATTTATAATTCAGATTTAATATTCCCATTATTTAATAAATAATTCAAAGGGTAAAATAGTCTTTTGAACATTTATCCTTCTCCATAACATCCAAAACAAACATAAGATTTAATAAAATAGTCCAATCCAGACATCTAATCTCATGACTAAACAAACATAGGATACAAATCTAATCCAACCAATTAGTCCGGAAACAATATATTCCAAGACTAATAGTCCAATAAATTACAATCCCCTTTTATCCAATCCGTCCAACAAACACATCCTTAAAATTTTGATTACAATTTATCAACTACAAACCCAATAGATTTAACTTTTTGGCATTGCCATTAATGGCCTTCTAACCTCATTCTTAGCAAATTTGGTTGCATTCTACTTGTGCGACTGCAAATGCCTCTTTATCAATGCCAACTTGTCAAGCTATGAATGTATATGCAAAGTAAAAACAGATGTGGTAAAACCTGAAGCAAGATAGATGAACTCAGTAAGAGAGAGAATTTTGAGTGATGACATGAATTACTCCCTTCTATCATACATTTTCAACTTGGCACTGAATTGCTGTGGAAGCACTGACAGTGTGGCTATTTACATGCATTGGTTGGGAACTCTAGAATTGCCATGGGAATGATGGGAATGATGGGTTGAGAGATGAATGAGGACTGAAGAATGATTGCAAAAGCCAAATCTGTATGTCAAGCAGCTCTAAGCTTGTTGGAGCCTGTGTACAGTGTGTATACTGCACTTGCAACTAAAACTGCCTCTACCTACACTAAAGGCGCATATCAAACCCGAAATGATGCATGCAGTGCTGAGTTGGGAGGGACCAGGAGTAACTGAAGTCCAGCTAGTATCTTCAACCATGTCCATGTCCATGTTGCAGCATCAAATAAAATTTGGACTATCATGCAAACACATCATTAATTCCACAAATTTCTCCTAAACCATGCAGATGCATGCTAAGAGCTCTGCTTACCTGGCGACATGCATCAAGTTCTTGGTTACCAGACAATGCTTTACACGATGGCCACACACTGGCATAATCCAAACCCAAAAGTGGATCATCAAACACCTTTGAGTTAGGAGCCAGCAACTTCACTAAATCTAACCGCTCAACCTTCTAGTTTTTAAGAAATCAATTCCCCTCAGCTTGCCATCTATTCTACAGCCCATCCAGCAGTGTACTTCAGCAGCAAACATCTTCTTCATACATTCTAAACTGATCAAGAATTCTTTTCCCAGAAAAGATTTAAGGAAAGAAAAAGATTCATGAACTCTACCCACCACCACTCCACCCCCTAAGAAATTCAAAATAATAATAATAATAATAATAACAATGATGTTTGTTTGCGGCAATTCACATTCATTCTTTCAAGCTAAGCCTTGCATTCTGAACTTTAACTGATAGCTTTAACTTCTGGTCCTCCATATCTCTCAAAACTGCAAGCAGATTTGCACGATACACTTCACATCGTTGATTTGTGCTTTCCAACTCAGCAGTCAATTCACGGATTTTCTTTTCCTTCTCATCCTGCAAAAGAGGCAATAAAGAGGATCAAATCATGATCATGATGGAATCACATAAACTACTGGAACCATGCAGTAAATACAGCACATCACTTTTTTTTAGTACATCACTCTATTGTCTTTTCATTTTCAAAGAAACGGGGTTCCTCTCAAAGGGGTTTAATCAACTTGATGTAATGAAATTATACAATCAACATGTCAACTATAGAAGACAGAAATATTGCCTGAATGGTCACTGAATAGCAAACAGCCATAGCTACAATAAAGCTTCAACAAGGAAAAAGATCTACGAATTTGGAAGCTCATCACAGTCCCCCAAGTTAATTTGAAAATTTTGGAAGGCCAAAAAATCTTGTTTGTAGACAGTAAAATAGAATCAGTTTCCAGGTACACAGAGAACTACACGAGCATGAGGCTGGGGATGCACAAGCAAGGGAAATTTAAGAAAACAATAAATACCATATGGATGACAATTGACATTGGGATCATAATGAAATCAGTAATAAGAGATCATGAATTGAGATACAGATATTTTTCACTGATTAGTTAGCAAATAAAATTACTCAATCAGCCAAGGTAATACAGTCTATATAATAATATTAACAAACTATATCCATTATTTTCAAATTATAGAAAGGAAAAAATAACATTGTTTCATTTTCTAAAGGCAGTTCAGGTTGGACTTCACATTTCTGTGATGGGGAGAAGAATCCTTTGGCATTACTGCTCAGATAAGAGGCGGAAGGCAGTGGAGGCTAGCTTTTTTCAAATCAATGGGAGGCCTTAGAAGATGTAGGGATGGATGCAAGCTCAATTACTAGAAATGGGGGATGTTGGGGAAGGTCTGGCCACACAGTTCTTCTCTGATTGTAGACTCGGGTTCCTTTGGGCATGAGGCAGGTGACTTGGTTACTATGGGTTGGGGAGAGGATACAAAAGTTGTGGAGCATCTAGTTTGCTCTTTGGTGGCTATGGTTGTTGTGGATGAGATTTCTATGGATAAGTGAAGGCTGGAAGGGATTAGGCATGACTCTTCCCAAATGGGTTTTGTTTGAAGAGGATGAGGGGCTACAGTAAATTTCAGGAGTTGTCATTTGAAGGGTTTGAAAAGGAGGCTATGCAGCTGTTTGTAGCTATTGAAGCCAGGTAGAGGAGTAGCACCCCAAGAATGGGTACCAGCAGACATGGGGCACAAATCAATGGGAGGCCTTAGAAGATGTAGGGATGGATGCAAGCTCAATTACTAGAAATGGGGGATGTTGGGGAAGGTCTGGCCACACACAGTTCTTCTCTGATTGTAGACTTGGGTTCCTTTGGGCATGAGGCAGGTGACTTGGTTACTATGGGTTGGGGAGAGGATACAAAAGTTGTGGAGCATCTAGTATGCTCTTTGGTGGCTATGGTTGTTGTGGATGAGATTTCTATGGATAAGTGAAGGCTGGAAGGGATTAGGCATGACTCTTCCCAAATGGGTTTTGTTTGAAGAGGATGAGGGGCTACAGTAAATTTCAGGAGTTGTCATTTGAAGGGTTTGAAAAGGAGGCTATGCAGCTGTTTGTAGCTATTGAAGCCAGGTAGAGGAGTAGCACCCCAAGAATGGGTACCAGCAGACATGGGGCACAGAATTGTTGATTAGGTAAGTAGTTAAAAAGTCAAAAAATTATGCCAATTATGAAGGTAGAAGCAAGGGTGTGAATGGGAGCAAGGGGACGGAGGGAAAGGGGACTTCTATGTATTACATCATAAAGTTAAAATTGATTTGTTGCAATGTGAGGGCTTGAATGCCCTTAACAAACGAGTGCCAGCAAAGGCCTTCCTTAAATAATGGAGCGCAGGTGTGTAATCAAGAGACAAAGATGGAAGATTCAAGTGTTGAGGGTGGTTCATAGCATTTGGGGCCAGGTTTGTGGAGCAGACACATTTGGGGGCCTCGGGAAACATAGGTGGTGTATTGATTATGTGGGAAAGGAGGGTGGTGGAGTGTGAGATGGGGTCGTAGATGGCCCAGTGGAGAATGCAGAAAAGAGAGACACGTCGGATGACCTAGTTGTTGCTTTTAGATGGGATGCTCTATGGTGCATGGGGGTCATTTTAATATTGCTTGCTTTTCTTCGGGGAGGTTGGGGGAGTCCAAAATTCTAGACCTTTGCAGGAGTTCCCTAACTTCGTTGATGAGTTGGGCCTGATGGATTTACCTCTTTCTGGTCTAAATTCTAGTAGTCTAGAGAATCCAGCTATGTCTTGGATTGATATTGGTTCTTGGTATCTCCGGATTAGAAGGAGCATTTTCCCAATATGGTACAGAGTTTGTTAGCATGGCCTGTTTCACATCATTCTCCTATTATGATGGAGCAGCTGTATTAGGAGTGGGGAGGACTCCTTTCATACATGAGAATATGTGGCTTCACATAGAGGCCTTTCATGAGAAAGTTGGGGATTGGTAGAGCTGTGTAGGGGTATATAATTGAAACAAGGTCGTGTATGGTGCTAGCTAAGAAGTTGGAGATGCTTAAGGAGGACATTAAGAGATGGAGTACCGAAGAATTCAAGAACTTGGGGGTTCAGAAGGTGAGGATCCTAGCGAGCATCCGTGCTTTGAACAAGTTAGAAAGTGAAAAAATAAACTGATAGAGAGAGAGCATAAATTGTGTATATATTATGATTGATATATTGATTGATATTTATTACAAATGGTGAGTGGCTCATTATATAGGAGAGGGTTTGGGTAGTAGGTGAGGGTAAATTGGTGGTAGGTGTAGTAGGTGTGGTAGTAGGTGGTGGTAGGTGTAGGTAAATTCTAACAGAAAGGAATACGGGTTTGATGGAGGAGGAGAGATAATGGATAGCTCATTTGTTTGAGAAATTTGAGATAATTGCAAAGATGGAGAAATTAACTGAAGACAGAAATCCAGAAAATTATGGCTCAGATATGGGGACAACATTATCCGTTTCTTTCATAAGATGGCTAATGCTCATAAAAGATGTAACTTTATTGGGAAGATTCAAGTGGGTGGCTTTTGATTTCAAAAGAGGAGATTAGAAGCAATATTGATGGCTTCTGCGAGGAGTTGCATATCAATTCCAGAGATTGGCGGCCTAAGTTGGATGCCATGAATTTCAGTAATATTTCAGCCTGAGCGTCATTTCTCAGAGAAGGAGGTGCCTGTGGCCCTTATGTCCCTTAATGGGGAAAAAGTTCCAGGTCAAGATTTCACTTTAGCTTTCTTCCAACAGAGTTGGGAAGTGAGTTGTAGGTTTGTTTCGTTCATTTTTTGAGTTCAAGCTGTTTTGAGAAAAGTTTGAATGTTTCATTTGTGACCATAATTCCTAAGAAAGAGGCGCGGAGGATAAAAGAGATTGTAAGCCTATTAGTTTTCTGGGCGGGGTGTACAGCAAATGTTCTTGCTTTGTGATTGAAGGAAGTGTTGTCTAAGGTGGTGTTCGATCCCCATAATGCGTTTGAGGGCAAATTTTGGATGCAAAATTGATTGCTAATGAGACTTGGATTCTAGATTGAGGAGCGGGAGCTTAGGTTAGATTCCTCCTAGATTGTTTGGAGAGGATGGGATTCTGACTAAAATGGAGGAAACAAATAAAATTTGCATTCCCACTATTAGACTCAATTTTGGTCAACAAATTGCCAACTATTTTTTTTTTTTTTTTTGAGGACTTTGAAGGGCTTGCAACAAGGTGATCCTTTGTCTCCTCTGCTCTCTAATTTGGGCATTGGAGGTCTTGAGTGGAATGCTTGACAAGGCAATGCAAGGTTTTGTAAAGAGTTCAAGTACCATTTTGGTTGATTGGGACACGGTTTGCTCCTCTTTTAGAGCGGGTGGTTTAGGGATTTGGCAACTCACAATCATTAACCAAGCTCTATGATGGAAATGACTTTGTGGAGTGTTGAATAGCTTAATATACATTTATGGGCTCATTTCATATCAACTTAAGCTTTTGGAACTAGTAGTGACCTAACATGGTATTCAAGTCTCTTCGTTTACATTTGTTTTCTCTGTTTACATTATACTTCTCTTTATGTATGGATGTTTGTATCACCACGTGCAATACGGGGTTACACGTGAAGGAGTGTTAGATAACTTAATATATATTGGTGGACCATTTCCTAATAACTCAAGCTTTTTAGGACTAGTTGTTGGCATATTATATTAGCCGAAAGTGTTTGGCATATTATATTAGCCGAAAGTGAGTAGGGTTTGTAATCATTTTATACCCCCAGGGATCATCTTGTAATTGTTTTCTTTGTAAACCCTAATTTTCATTTATAAATAAGGGGTGATCTTCTATCATACCCTAAGCTGGTTACCCAAGCTTCATGGTATCAGAGCTACACCTCTAGGGTTAGGGTTCAAAACGTACCTAGTTGGATCATCTACTGGGTCGATCTTCAGTCACTGTTGTCACGCCGCTTCGTCTTCATCAACCGATTGGACCATCTGCTTCGTCTTCGTTCTTCTCCTCTGCTCGTCGATCTCCTCAGCTCCTCAGCTCGTCATCGTCTTCCTCAGCTCCTCAGCTCCTCTGCTCGTCACTCGTCCAGCTCCTCCAGACGTTCGTCACTCGTCTTCCTCGCCCTCATCGTCGTCGTCACTCGTCGTCCTCACTGTGGTATGATCTCAGACCTAGTGTATATATAAATATATATATATATACTGATATATATATAAAAATAGCCTGATATATATATATTTATATATAAATACATGTATATATTCTGATATATACATAAATAAATCAATATAAAAATTAAAAAAAAAACAAAAAAAAAAAAAAAAAAAAAAAAAAAAAAAAAAAAAAATTAAAAACTCAAAAAATTATTTTTAAAAATTCCTAACTAAACAGAGTGTCACTAAATTGGCCTTTTCTCTTGTTTATTAAACAAAATTGAACGGACGTTGGGGGGTATTAATTTGATTTTTTTCAAATGTACAATTTATGTTAAAATTACGGGTCAATTACATCAACACCCCTTGGGGTTTATGAATAATG